CACAAATTTTCATGGCATGTTCCCCTAGTTATTCTTGAGATCAAGAAAATTTTTCAAAAATTTGAAGGCATATTTAATTACCAAACTCAATGCATTTCATTCAAAGGCAATTAAATGATTAGAACTAATTAATATTTAATTGAAATATACCCATTAATTTAGCTGAAAATTTAAAAGATTATAAGAATTAAACTAAATAAAGAAAAAACCATGAAAATTACCAATTAACCCTCATAATAGTGATAGTTTTATAAAATTGAAATTAAAACGTTTTACTAAATAAAATATTTTTGTAATTTTAAAATTTACTAAATTAGATAATTCTAAAATAATTCATAACTAACCCAATTAAAATCAAATGACATGGAATTTTTATATGAGTGTTGGGACCCTTCCTTAATATAAAATTTTTTTCATAATTTTAAAATTAATTTAAATTTTAAATAGCCTTTAGAATTTAAATACTCATTAAATCGAAAGAAAATTTAAATTAGGTCAAAATATCTCAAAATATTAGGAATCAATTTTGTTATGGTCTCTAACCTTATACAAGAATCTCATGAATGTTAATTTGGATTTCCTTAGAAAATCATAATTTAACAAAAATAATTATTATTACTTAAAATTCTATAATTTAATCCTAATGGCCCATTGGTAACTTAGAGAGTTTCATGTTAATCCTAATCAAAACCTAAGTGGGTCCTTTGCCCACTTATAAAAAAAATAAAGAAAGGAGAGTGAGAAACAAAAGGATGAAAATTCTAACTTAATTAGGATTTGACCTAAAACCAAAAATCGTAATTCTTAAACCAACCACTCAACCTTGAAACACACCTTAATCACCCTTTATGTTCGTTTGATGTGGTTATGTGTAGGTTTGTATGTTGCTCGAGCTCAAATCTAGTTCCAATCTAAATCAACTTTAAACTAAACCTAATTCAAATGAAAAAGTAAATTAAAACTTAAACTAAAACCAATCTAACACTCAAATCAAAACTAAACTAAAAATATTTTCATCACCTTTGTTTTTTTAGGGTGATGTGCCTTGCCTTCACTGGTAGGATTCTCACCTTATGAGGACTAGGGTGATATGCTTAGTGTGTCCCTTTTTGAGTGGGTACAACTAGTCATCGTAATCTTGAAAAATTAAACTCAAACTAGAATTGAATTAAAACTAAAAAAATTAAAATTTGCCTTTAAGTTATTAATCATTTGAATTAAAACCATCTCTTGGTAAAAAAAAAAATTCAAATAAAAGCAAAATTAAAACATAAAACCAAGGACTAGAATTTTCATAAGATAACCACACAAATATTAGATTGATTAGTATGTTACACATTAGATTGGTTTCTAGGTTAATGAAAAACTTCATTTAGAGCAACAAAGATCAATTGTTCTAGTTATTCATTTTATCATATGATGACTACTCTTTTATACTAAATATCAAGGCAGTTGCTTGTACATATAATAAATATTAGGGTGATTATTTTTAGTAGCCTAATATTTTTTTTATAGGAGGTTATGTTCAGTGAGGCAATTGTTAAAATAAAATAATTAAATTGACACACATTTTAAAAGTGTTAGTTGACTCATGCTTATGCATCTAAGCACAACCTATTGGGATGGAGGGCTTGATGGCAGCTAGTGTTTAGTCCATAATGTTTATTATATTTATGTTGATTGTGTGCATGTCTTTCCTATTAATCATTATTTTATATGTTTAGTTAGGTTTATTTTAAAATTTTGAATATATTTATACTATAAATAGGTTTGGGGCTTGCGAGTATAGGATGAGCGAGGATATACTGCACTAGATGATAATGCATTGTGTAACTTAGGTGCTCTAAACCACGAAAAAAAAAGAAAGGATACCAACTAAGAAGATTAATCAAAGATAGTATACTAGAAGATCCATATGTTAACTTGTAGTTCTAGAACTAGACTGTATAAGGGTAGAGCCTGACTGCCCCCTTCTTCCTTTTATTTTAGGGTATATAACAAAACCCGGCCTCACCAGCCTATTTTGTTATATTTTTTTTCTTATAATGTTTTTTTTTTGTGTATTTAATTTGATTATGCATTACAATTACTCGCTTTTCCTAAATTTGTGCCTAGAATATTCTAAACCTTTTTTTTATGCTCTAAAGGTAAAAATAAAAATTTCTATCTAACTTAAGAAATATAACATAAAATAAAATAAATTAAATAAAAACTTAATGATTCAAAACATATAAACATAATTAATAAAATTAATTAGATACCATAGGAATATCATAATAAAATTCACTAACATATATGCTATAATTTTTCCCTCACTACTTCACCCAACATAAGGGGGCATCATATTAGTGAGGATTGCCACCTTTCTTGGGGAAGACTACTAGTTATCCTTAAATTTAACTTGTAGTCCACACATTCATGTATTAGGCTCATAACTAAGCATTTGAAAATTAATCAAATTGAGTTTAAATAATAAAATATAAAATTTGTATAGATGAAACTTGATTTTTGGGATCAAGTGATAAGTCTCAATGAATATTAAAAATTTAACAATAGCCTTACCTATTCACTCTTGCATATGATCAAATTCATGGGATTAAAATGTAGGCAAGTTATATGACTACCCCTTTTATGTATGGTTATAATTCCAAAAGAGTCGAGCTGGATTTCACCCTTTGGTGGGAGTAAAGTCTTAAAGTCCCATTATCTTCTTAGATTAGGCTTGAGCTCCTTGTTTGCTTTTGGCAATAAGAGATGTCCTCACCTTCAAATCATATTTCACAACTTAGTATAATTAGATTATAAGCCTTAAGTTTCTAACTAAATGAATAATTTGAATCAAAACTAATTTTAATTACTAAAACTGTATATGATAGTTTGCAATACCACTGAGCCTGTCAGTACTAATGCTTCCTACTTTTTCCCTTTGGTCATTGATAATAAATATTCAAAATCTATGCTTATCCCAATTAAAATTCCAAATACCAATCTTGAATTTAAACTTTGATATCTACAGAAATATGAATAGTATTATTTTAATCAAGAGTTTTTTTAAGAGATAATCTCTTCTAGGATATAATTAACTGTATGGGCTAATATTATAAAGATCATGTACCACAAAATAAATTAAATCCTATCCTACCCATATGTGGAAGGAGAAATATTTTTTTTGGCAATGAGGTCCTGAGTCTTAAAACCATCATTTCAATATTAGATTCATTATTGAGTAATATATTCATATTCCTAAATGATATACTCTTTATGATATTGTATCCAATCATAGCAATGAGAAATTTCAAAACTCTTACATGATCCATTCATTCAAACTCTAGTTGAATGTGACCCTTCCTCCTCCTCACAAGACATCCAATTATAATATACTAGCATGGTACATTCATTATTATGGAAATGGCCTCATAATATACCCATGACCCTCTCTAGCCCTCCTATAGTTTTCTCCAATGCTAACTAACCCTATAGTTTTCTAAAAATAAGAATCTCATCTTTGATCATAAAAACTATCTTGATCAAAATAGCATTGTGTTTTCATGGCAGAGAATGACACATTTTATAAAAAAAAACATAAGATTTCATGCATCATGCATCTATATGCACTTCAATTTTTTGTCTCTAGCCAAGTAATTATCAAGTTCCTTTTATTACTAATAATTTTTTAACTTTTCAATAGATCAGAATTCCCCAAAATTGAATCAAATGATTAAAGAAACTTAAAACATCCAAATATGTGTTCTTCCCTCCATTATTGGACATAATGGAGTACCCTATTTTCTTAGTATAATCAACCATTCTTAGCAACAGTTAATGAACTAAGGCACCATAAAATTTTATTTAGAAACTCTAAGGAATTTATCAATAAGGGATTTCCAACTTTTCCCAATGAGGTTATTAGCCTCAAACTGTTTGATTGATTTCTCCATCACACCTTTAATATTACATAAAAGATGAGCACTGTAGTACCTTTCTTCACGCGTAATATGATAAATGATTCAAGTACAAAAGAGATAATACGAAAAAAAATGATTGAATCATGCTCAACCCATAAAAAAACTATTTTTGAAGCATTTTTGAAAAACAATCCAACAAAGATTGAGCAATTTTTTAATTATCTTTGAACTATGATTAAACAATTTTGATCACAATCAAACAATATTTAAGTCATAATTAAATTATGATGAAAAAGTGATTAAAAAAATCCAATAAGGATCAAGTATTGTTTGTGAATTTAAAAATAGACTGATTCATTTTTGAACTAAAAATGAGTAATCTTGAATTATGAGTGAGCTATGCTCAAATAAGGATTAAAATCCTTGAGATACTTTTACTAATGATAAAATTATTTTTGAATGATGATCGAAACATCTTTGAATCACCTTTAAACAATATTATTATACTATGATTACACTATCTTCAAATAAGTGTTAAATAAAGATAAAAATCTATCTAAAGAATTTTTCAACAATGATATAAATGATCAAATAATGATCACAATTACTTGAAATACATTTTTAAATAATGAGTTTTCATCATTAATCCCAATTGATCTATGTTATATTATTATTCAATTATTTTTAAATCTTTTTTAGATTATAATTTAAGCCATAATCAAACCATCTTCGATTTATTTTCGATTATAATTAATCAATGTTTGATTCGATCATATTTAAAAATGATTTGAAAATAGTTTAATCACCAGTTCAAGTAAATTTTAGGGGCATTCACATACATGACATACTTTCTTATGCATTTACATATATGATACTTGAACTTTCACATCTACTCACATAACACTTAAAAATAGTACTATTATCATTTTTTAAAATTGAAATTCACTAGGTGTAAATCACTAAAATGTTATGTATGTAAACATAGAAGTTGAGGATGTAAATACATAAGAATTGAGTGCTAGGTTGTAAATTTCCCAAATTTTTAGTAGGTGTTTGCACAATCCTTCTTGAATTTATAAAAAGGTTCTCTAACAGTATTTTGTTTGTTTTTTTTGCTTCCATAGAGAGTGGAAAAATGGCAGGCGGTAGCGGGCAATTGAAGTTTCTTGACTGGTACCTGAAGATAGCGGCGGTGTCGGCTTTCGTAGGGGCTTCGATGGAGATTTTCATGATCCACACCGGCTTCTGTGTGAGAACTCTCCTTTCTCCCTTTCAACTTTAAACCCTAACGCTTGCTGTTTGGATCGATCGATCTTAAGGGAGGATGCTAGCGATTTCAAGTAAAAACTTGAAACGAATACATGTCAAGGAAATGAGGATAGCTAAATCTAGATTTATTAGTAATGTGATTATTGCTCATCATTCATTAGTATTGATAATTTTCTGCTGTTTGGTTTGATATTAGATAGGCTTAGGCGACAATTGCAATCCTTATGGTTAGATAATCATAGGTGAGTACACATATCCCTTGACGATATATGGGGAGATGAGGTAAATTGTAGGGCGTTTGCTGCGATTTAAAGTCAAATGATAGGAGAAAATGCGGGATTGAGTAAGGCAGGCAAGCCAAGTTTGTTAATGTAACTTAGCAAATCCAGGCAGCTACTCAGAATGTATACCTTTTCGTTGGTTCGCGCCATAATACAGTTTATTCTCGTCTAATCATATGTTCTCAAAACAAAAAAGTGAAATAAACAATACTCCGAGTTTCTTTGGAATACTAAATCTCTTTTAAAGTTTAAACTAGAGTTGCTTGTATAAATGTGTATGTGTACTTTTGGAAGGCCAATTCATGATATATATTTTTTTATTCTGTACTTGAGGATTACAACCTTAAGCTGGCCAAGACAAATTTCATATGAGTCAAATTATTTTTCTAGCATGCATTGCAGAAACCTTCACGTGGTTTCTCTTTATTGTATTTTTGTCTCTCCAAAACTTTCACCTCATACTTCTAAGAACCGGAGGCAACTTGCTTATTTCATTCTTCCTTTCGGTTCATTAAAATAAATTTCAACAAAAAATATACATTTGACTCATTTGTCATCAGTATCTCTGAAAGAGATTGTATAAACTTCATTCATAATAAATAAACAGATAACTTAGGGCTTTCCTTTAATTTATCCCCCATGACTGTTATGGCTAAACAAAAAGCTTGCATGGAATAAAATGGAAATTGTGATCTGTCAATTTAGAAGTAACAATACTTGCCCTTTGAGACTGGATGCATGCATTTTCTCTGGTGAAAGATGCTCTTATAATTTGGATTTCTGAATTCCCATCCAATGACACTTGTTTAAGCATAGTGTATTTTATTAATTGTTACAAAGTGATGCCTTGAATTCTTGAAAATTTCTATATGGACTTGATGATATTTAATACATATTTTGTCCGAAATTTAGGACAATTTCCTCTATGGAATGAAATCGTGATAGTTACAAACCACCAAATAGAAATGTTTGATATCATGTTTCTCAACACATTGTTTCTTATTTTTTTCTAATCTTAGCTCCTTTGTATCTTAGACCTTGATGTTAGAGGAGATAATGCACTCAATTGTAGCCTTTTCTTGTATCATTCATATAAAATATGTGAACCACATCGATGTGGTCTAGAAAATGTGGCAAGTGAGAAGTGCAAACTTTCTTAGTTAAATATTGGCTAAAAGCTAGACTTTTTATTCAATTTTCACATATAATATTGCACTTTTTTGAATAAAGAAGTGTTACATGATTCAATATTCAAATCTTAGATTTTGGCTAGTATTGGCTATGGCTTTTTATTCTGACTTCTTGAGGAGAAGAGATTGCGTGGGTGTTTGTGGAGGCTAAGGGGGAGAGCTTGCAGAGGGGCATTCATATAAGCCTTTAATAATGATGATGATGATGATTAGACTGCGCTTATAGCATCCAGGAAAGAAAGAGAGGGCATTATATATTTGTTGATTAAACTATATATATATGGCCTGAAAAGGTTGATCAGAAGTGGATTGCAAAATAGTGTATCACAAATCAAGCCTTATGTGGAGCTCCGTGAACATAAATAGTGAAAATTTTAGATATTGTGGCTTAGAGATGATTAAAGATACGTACAATTGGATACACTAGTGATAGAAGCTTATATTTATCTGGAAGGCCTTCATTGTCTTTCCATGCCAAGGTGAAAAAGGTTGATGATTGGTTAACAATCAAGTCATAAAACCTAAACCAAAATCTGTGAAGTGAATCTTAATTTTATGTTTTCCAGTGTCAGAACATTCTCAATAATGGTATATCTTGTCATAATTGATTATAAACAGGGAGTTGGCCATTTGTCAGTGATGAGGTGTAACTTAACACTCTTGAGATGAGATTCAAGTAAAAAGGTTGGCTAGAACATCACCCAAAAGTGATGCTCCTCAACTCAACTAATTTTGGTGAAAAAAGACAAGGATAATTTGCTATTGAGAGTTTAAATTTTTTCAATTGAAGAATACAATGCTAGTATACTCGATTTAAAAAAAATGGACCTTTTGTGTGAAACAAAATGAGAAGGGAAAAATTAAAATATTTGGGATTCATATAAACTATTGGATGTTGGGAATCTTCATGGTGAGATGGATAGTTGTTGATGTAAAGTTTAAAGACAACTTTTAAAGTAAACAAGGTTGGTGATACAATGATTGTTATTAAGTTTGTGATTGATGAGGATATTGTAATTGTTGTCAAAACCTCCATTGTGAGAATGATTTAGGGTAGATGTTAGGTTAAAATCAAGCAAATACTATACCATAATGAATTTTTATTGGATTGATCCCTTAACCCACCTTGGCCACAAGTTGAAAAATGTAGAGTTATAAATAATATCGGGTTTGCTACTCGTTGTTAGGGACTTTGTTGGGAAGAAAAAAAATCTAGCGGACACAACAAGTACAAAAAGAATTGATATGACATGTTTGCAAGGAACTAAATAGAAATAGGAGAAATCTCGGGAGGCATTGAAGAAGGTTATAAACTATTGTAAAATTGGATTGTTTAATGATAGGGATGAGATCGAAATAGCGAATAGAGATTTGAAAGATAAAATGTTTTCATGATGAATACATTTAGTGCTTCGGTGATTTCCAATAAATCAATCTTCATTCAAGATGTTATAAATGTAGTTCATGTTTATAGTCCTCACGCTGGACTATAGAATAGTTTAAAAAACCAACTTTGGAATGAGATGAATAAACCATTCTAACATGTACTTACAAAAGAGAGGATAATGATTGATGGATACTTAAATGGACATTTAAGTTATAATTGGATGTTACATGAGATGATTCATGTTTGTTGTATGACTGTGAATTGAAGGTAAAAATGCTACGAGCGAAGCTATTTAAGACTTTGAAGTAGCATGACCTTCCAATACAAAATAAATACTTTAAAAATAAGAAGAGCTCTTTTTTATTTTAAATTGGTTTCATCATATAAGAAGTTGACTCATCATTTTTTTGGAAGAAAAGAAAAATGCTTTTGCAATCATTATAAGTTTATTCCAAGAGAAAGTTTGACCACAACATAGAGTAATTACTATGATTATATCTAAATGGGAGAAATAATGGAAGTTAAAAGGTGAGAAATTATTGATATTTAAATATAGGTTATCAGGTATGGTGAATCGGATTTCTATAGATGAGATAAATAAATTTTTTTTTAGGAATTTTAGGTAGATTAAACATAGATCATATATAAGGAATTTTGGTAGAGTGACTCGGCACGAAAGGTTATTATGAAAACAAAATTTGATTTTTGAAGTGGGAAAAACTGAATCCTACTTTGACTTAAGAAAATTATTAGTCATACAAAGAGGCTACTAACCAAAGAAAAAAATACTATATTTTATAATTTATATAAATTACCGACATTGTTAAAATGAAGATATATAAAATAATTAAGATTAAAAAAGTATTGATCAAGTTAGATGCATTAAATTAATGATAATAGGTTAGTTTACATACATATGATAAAAAAGTATTGATCAATTTAGATGCATTAAATTAATGATAATAGGTTAGTTTAAAAAATAAGAGGGAAGGACTACAATAAAAAACTATTAAAAAGTAATTTTATGTAAGAAATATTTGCAAAATGGAATATTAAACAAAAAAATGAGGTGTATTATAGATTAATATTGTTTGAGAAAAGTAAAATGGAGATAGTTATGTAGAATATGCATAAGTTTAAAGTTTTGGATTTATACGAGATATCTATTGAGATTTTTATAGCTATGTGTAAGCATGGAGTTGTTTGGTTAACAAATTTTTTAAATCAAACTTTGAAGACTAAAAAAATGTTAATGTTTGGAGAAGAAGCATATAAGTACTCTAATTTGAGAACAAAGATGTTTAGTTATGATAATTATAGGATAATTAAATATATGAGTCGTCCAAAGAAGTTATGGAGAGAGTAATGGAATATATTCAAAATAATTATGTTAGAATCACAAATTAATTTGGTTTTATGCTAAAATTATTTTATGTAGATGTAAATTTTGTGTTAAGGCCATCAATGAAAAAAGTATTTAGAGTTCAAACACATACTCCATGTGTTTTTTCTTGACCTTTAGGATGCATATGATCGAATATCATGAGCATTTCTTTGGTCATTGAGTTTATAATGCTGGAGATAATGAGATTGATTTAATAGGTTCCTATGGAGAATAACGAGAGGGGGCCACCTATATACTGTTCATTGTGTATTAAATTAGGTATATGGCCTAAAAACATTGATGATGAGTTGATTTACAGTATTTATCATTAATTAAGTCTTATTAATGAATCCAGAACATAAAAAACAACATAGAGATGGTAAAAATGAGAATTGGACATACTTACCATGGCGCTGTGATTGACGGAATATGAAACCTAATGAATTCATTTTAAAAAACTTTGGATAAGTTTTACGAATGGTTGTCAACCTAATGAAAAATATGAACATTTATCGTCTAAGCTCTGGAATAATAACATAAGTTTTGAACACATTTACATATTCTCAACATCAATTTACAAAAAATCAGGTATAAGAAAACAGTTTTTCGAAGTAAAATAATTTATAGTTCAACTTTTACAATATCCACATGTCATTCCTACTATCAATCTTTCCAATATTCCAATAACTTACAACAATCGTTACACTTAAAAGGAAAATTTTATAAGACGGTGGTG